GGCAAATATATAGAGACCAAAGTTTATTATTGGTTACCGGGGTGGGGGTGGGGGAGTTATTACTTATGGAGCACTGAGTTTTGGTTTAAGGTGGTGGAAAAATCACTTTGATTTACAGTTGTACAGCCAATTAATGCAACTACTGTCAATAAGTTGTACACCTGTAAAAAGTTGAATTGGCAAAAGCTGTATAATATAGTTACAACAATGACAAAAAAAACAAAACAAAACAGACTAGCTGCTGAGGCTGCTTAAGTACAACCAAATACTTCATGAGATTTGTTTTCTTGGTTTAGAGGTTTAGGGTCATAGTTTCATGCGACATCCCAGTTAACTGGCCTAATAATGTGTTTAGTGCTTCTGCTCTACCTTCTAGTTCATTGTGTGGTGCCTAGAGTCTTAAACGCTTGCAAATAGCCATCCAGGGTACAACAACTGCTCTCTATTCGCCTGGAGCAACAGAGGAAGAAGGAGAATCAGGAATAGGAGGAAGAAATGGAATGTGTGGCTAATTGATCCCATGAACAACTGCCTCCTTTGCCAGGAGACCAGAAAAACTAGATGGTGCCCAGCAACCATTACAGATAACATTTTGTTGATTTCATATAAATGAACACACATATACTTTTCAGGGTGTCTGAAATTTCTGAAAACACAGGGACATTTATTTCATTATTATCATAGAACTCTTCATGTGTAGGGTGACATGAATATAATTTATCACTCAAACTGGGTCACCTTTAGAGTATAAGGTGGGGGGGTGTTATGGATTGAATTGTGTTCCCGAAAAAGATATGTTGAAGTTCTAGCCCCCAGTACCTGTGAATGTAACCTTGTTTGGAAATAGAGTCTTTGAAGAGATGTTATCAGTTAACATGAGGTCATAATGGAGTAGGGTGGGTACTGATTCAATATGTGGTGTCCTTATAAAGGAGATTGAGAGACACAGAGAGGAAGATGAGCATGTAATGACAGAGACATTCAGCTGCAAGCCAAAGAATACCAAGGATCATAGACTGTCACCAGAAGCTAGGAAAGAGTCATGGATCAGATTCTCCCTTAGAGCCTGTGGAAGGAATCAGTACAGCTAATACCCTGATTTTGGATTCCCAGCCGACGGAACTGTGAGAAAATGCAGTTCTGTTCTTATAAGCCACCCAATTTGTGGTACTTTATAATAGCAGCCCTAAAGAAACTAATACAGGAGGTAACTGTCCAGCACCCTGAGACAGCTTGTATGGTCAGCCAACTCATATGGGAGGTCAGTCCGTACACTGCTCCAAAGATACATTTACACATCAACCACAGGAGAGATAACATAATTGGGATTAAGTAAAAACACATTAAGTAAAATGGAAGTACAAGAGATAAATATTTCTCTATGTTTCTAGATATCTGGCATATGAAAACATAATTTCTATGTCACATAGTGCCTTATGCCATGATATATCCTTCAACTTTGCTCAGAATAGCTGAAATATTTATAAAACAACGTTTACATGGCAGCCATGAATGCATCTCTTGAGTCTTCCATTGTTGGGGGTGTAAGTGAAAGAAAATGAAGTGTTTAGATGACATGTAACTTTCACGTCTAAAATTCTGTGATTTAAAAAATTATTTTACCTATTCATTAAAGATTCTTTATCTATTATTGTGGGTATATGGTGCTTTGCAAGAGTAGGCACTTGGTAAATATCTCTTTAACTGAATCATCAAATTTCAGGGTAGGAAGGGCAGTTAAAGTCACTTAATTTACTCTAGAAGACGAGTTTTATCAGGTTTAGTTGACCTGAAGGCAGGAGAAAACTGGACACAACAGGTTTCCCAGAGATTTTTGTAACAGCCCATGCAATAATCCATATGTTCCATGCTTGGAGTAAGGAGCAGCTGTGGCCTCTCATCTCTTGAAATTGACTTATCATCTTAGTATTTTATGGGAATTTTCTTACTATAGTTTTTGGAAAAATCTGAAAGCAAAGATAGATTTATCTTGTATTGATGGAAATGTGTGTATCTTATTTTAAAACATTTAGGGTATTCTGAAAAATTGAATTAGCTTGCTTTGATTATTTCTGATGCTGCCTCCATAATTAATTTTTTTCTCTCAGTTTTTTTTTTTTTTTTTTTTTTGGGTTAGTTGCTGTTGAATCAGCTCCAACTTGTGGCGACCTTATGTCTAACAAAAGGAAACATTACAAAGTCCTATGCCATCTTCACGATCATTGGTATGTATGGGCCATTGTCCTGGCTAATGTGTCAATCTTTAGACAGGCATTATCTTAGTTATCTAGTGCTATCATAACAAATACCACAAGTGGGTAGCTTTAATGAACACAAATTTATTTTCCCACAGTTTAGGAGGCTAGAAATCTGAATTCAAGGTGCTGGCTCTAGGGAAAGGCTCTCTCTCTCTCTCTCTCTCTGTCGGCTCTGCAGAAGGTCCTTGCCTCTTTTCAGCTTCTTCTGTTTCTAGGTTCCTTGGTGATCATGTGGCATGTATTTTCCTTTCCATTTATACTTGCTCGTTTGCTTGTTTAATCTGCTCTTTTATATCTCAGGAGAGATTGATTTAAGACACAACCTAGACTAATACTGCTTCATTAACATGACAAAGAAAACTCATTCCCAAATGGGATTATAATCACAGGTATAAAAAAAATCAAACCTGTTGCCGTGGAGTCAATTCTGACTCATAGGACAGAGCTGCCCCATACAGTTGCCCCAGAGAGTTTCCAAGGAGTGGCTGGTGAATTCGAACTGCTGACCTTTTGGTTAGCAGCCATAGCTCTCAACCACTGTGCCACCTTATGATTTATAACACATATTTTTTGGGGACACAATTCAATCCATAACAGGCTCTATATTGTCCATCCCAAGAAAGTTAATAAAGATATATTCTAAATTTGATGTTCTAAGAATAGGAACAACTACTTGGTTAGGTCAAGTTTGTTAACTTAATCAAAGAAGGAAGACATTCGGAAATCATGTTGAGGTTAGGGCAGGCTGGTGAAGTGGAGAATGCATTGGAGTAGGAGACAGCAGTGTGTGTTTCATTGCAGGTTCAGCCTTTAATAAACTAATGGTGTGACCTTTGGAATGCCCTCTACTCACTCTGGATTTCTGCTTGCTCAGCTGTGAAATAAAAAGGTTGGACAAAATGGCTTATAAAATCCTCCACAGCTATTTTGGTTACATGGATTCTATGTTTTCTCTTATTGAATGTAACATTTCTATATCATTTATGACTAAAACTAAATCATATAGCTCATCCAAAACTGAGTCATCATTCAAGAAAATACCCCAAATGCAAATTCATTCATCAAGAAGAGCAATTTCTAGGTTTTTGTTTCCTTTCTTTCATTTTTTAAACATTTGTTATAACCATAGGCAATCAATAGGGAACTGGTATACACCTGGTACAGTCTAACGACAAAACAATTTCTAAGCAAACATTCTACTGACATGCTCTCTTACTGCCTTACATAGAGCCATTGAGGACTGTGAACAAGAACTATTCCCATTCTATTCATTTTGTTTAGAGACAGAGTGAATCAGAATTAAGAGTCAAAGTGCTTCCTGTTCAGATGACAGATGACCAGGATTGCAGAATGAGAGCTAAAGGAATCCACATCCTGCAGATCTATAGGAAGAGAACAAAAGTGCTCCTGGCTTTCACCATCTTCCCTTGCCCACCATCAAAGCCCTTCACCAATGAACCAGACATGAATTCCAATCACTGGCCAGTTAGGTACTTGACATTCCCACACATTGGAATTCTCCCATATCAGCTGAAACTTCAACCAACCAAATCTATTCCCTTTCCAAGGTAATAAAGTTGTAAGCATAAAAGCTCTACAGACAGCCTTTCCATTTTTCCCCCTAGATAAGTAAATTTTAAAAATAAAATAATAGGATTCCAAAATAAGCAGTTTCCACCATGTTTATTTACCCCAGTTGAAACTTTCTTCATACTTAGAAAGCTGACAAAGTGAAGTTTATCCTTTTAAATCTATTCAAATGGTCTCTATGCCATATGGTCTTATTAAGTTAAAAATAAATAAATAAATAAGTGCAATTACCAAAGGAAAAGACAATAAGTGAAAAGAAAGTTTTGTGTAGGAAAATATGATATTGGGACACAACCATTCTTTATAATAGAATTCCTCACAGGCAGACAATATCTGATAACTCAGACTTTAAAAATAAAAACGTACGTGAAATTTTCAACTCAATATTTACAAGAAAATTTACTAGCAAAGCGTGCACAATACTCTATTCAGGAAAAATATTTGTAAAAATAAAGATAACATATATACCATAAAATAATTTAAAAATAATTTCCGATTTTCTGCCACATCATTACTATTGTTAAACGCATGACTATTAGAGTGGCACTAAATAATGAAATACCCAGGAAAAAGATGATGGCAGCCACAAAGAATTACTTTCATAGATAAACTTGCCTCAGTACATACAGGATATAGCAAAACAGCAGCAGAGGAAATATAATCTACAAAATAAACTGGACTTCCCAACAGCAGTTGGTGTTGCACTCCTAATAACTATGCAAAACACTAAAATAGTACTACTGCTAGTGAATTCCTGCAGTGATCACACACATTGCAACAATTGATTTTTGCAAGTTGTGTGATATGAAAACTCTATTCAAATTCTTTTAAAACTTCAGTTGGGTTTTATAAGGTTCCTAATGCCCATAAGTAATAAATAACCAAATAGAGTGGACAAGGGACTTAGGAACATCTTTCACTTGAGAAATAAATTGTTCTCAAAATCTTTTTAGTACATGTCTAAAAATGATTTACCATAAAGAATAAATTACAAATATTTTTGTAAGTCAAATAAAAACCTACACATAATTCTTAAGAAGCCCGACATGATTGTTAAAAATATTACTATTGTCACACACATAAAAAAATGGAAAACAGGTTTACAGTTATGGTTATGTAAGAATTTATATAAAGTAACTTGACAGATCCTACCTTTTTCAGGAACCGGACTCCATAGGTAAATATATAAAGGAAAAATGAAAATCTCCACCTGCAGAAAGTTAAAAATAAAATTCTATGACATTCAGTTTCTATATTTCACATTTTATGAAATACAGGAGAGAAAAAAGTACACTAGATTTGTACCACCCCCCAGCCACCCGGCATTAAATTTAATGAGCAATTTAGGATTAGCTGAACACATACACTCATGTGCATGGGTATATAAATATATTATGGCAAATAGTTTAAATATTAATAATTATATTCATAACCTAAATTTTCTTTCACACGGTTACTATATTTTCTCATTTTCTCATCTCTTTCCCCACCAGATGAATTCCCTCTTGTTAATTACTCATGAGGTGTATGGTGAATATACAACATAGATTTGAATTCTTTGATTCAGATACTAAGCAAGTTTACTTAACTGCAGTTTATTTTAAAAATACTTATGACGTAAAGAAGCCTCAATATCATTAAACAAAGGAAGCATTTTTCTTTGTCTTTTAAAAATATTCATCAACGTGTTTGTAGATGTTAAAGGAAGGAATAAAGAATCCAAATCCTCCATCTGCTGTACAATTGCAAACGATAGCCTTAAACCATTCCAAACTGTGGGTCTAGCTATTAGACCTTCACTTTGTTTTCAATGAGAAAAAATTTGTAAGTCCTCTTTCAATTTTTAATGATTGAAATAGTTTTAGTCTTTTAAAATATAAGGCTATTACAAAAACAAAAAAACTCCCTAGTACTCAATTCCCAATTTTATTTCTTGTACTTTCTGTGTGTGCCTTTAAAAGCTGGCTAGGTTTCACCAAATGCCATTCCCAAGGCTATTGTGGTGGTACTAGTGGTACTTCAGGTAATAGGTTGCAAATGAGAAAGAAACTCGTCAACTAGAGTCCATCAGGAGGCAAATTCCTTTTGGTGTCTATATGTCTACCTACAAATTTCAAATAAGGTAAAAAGAGAAGGTGATTTTAGGAGATTATTTGAGTTACATACACAATTTTCTGGAAGAAAACGATAGGTATATTCAGGTAGGAGGAAAAGAATAACAGCCTCTGAGAGCTGATTAAGACCCCACAGCAAACACAAGTGTCCCTCAGAATTTCACAGGTAGATTCATTCCTCGGTTGGCTGACCCTGCAAACATTCTGGAATTCTAGTCAGAGCTAACATTTACAGAAGACATTTGTTGAACTTTAGGGTTGGAAATCTTCAACTAATAATTCATAAAACCTGAATTCTGGAAGGAACAATAAAACTGATGGAAGTAGTAACGATTCAGCAAGAGCTTCTAAACAATACAGAAAAGCAATGATTAAGAAACCGTGTGTAAAAACTCTCTTGTATGTAAGGATACTTGACTCACTGAAGTATCAAAGTCAAGGACTGAGTTTTAATCCCACCTCTATGATCAACGTTTTTTTTGGTGGCTGGTACTTGAAAGTGTTTTGTGTTTCTTTCTGTCTGGATATACAAATTCTAGACCAGAAGTTAAGTCCATACAATCTGCACAGTCACACAGGGTCCCATGCCTGGTTTAATGCTTTGCTGTCCCTGTCTTGAAATGCTTAGTAATTTTTGAACAAGGGGCTTCACATTTTATTTTGCATTGGGCCCTGCAAATTACGTAGCTGGTTCTGGTTAAGACACATAGATTCTCCTTACTTTGGGCAAACCTATGAATATTCCTTGATCTCAGTTTCATCTCTATTAATGGGAGAGTAGGTTTATATTCTACCACCTGTCAGTTTGTCGTATTGCGGTAGCTTGTGTGTCGCTATAACGCTGGAGGCTATACTACCAGTATTTCAAATACCAGCAGGGTCACTCATAGTGGACAGGTTTCAGGGTAGCTTCCAGACTAAGACAGACAAAGAAGAAAGACCTGGTGACCTATTCTGAAAATTAGTCAATGAAAACCTTAAGGATCATAACAGAATATTGTCCTATACAGTGCTGGAAGATGAGCCTCCCAGGTTGGAAGGCACTACACAACAGCCACGACAATGGATTCAAATATACCAAAGATCATGAAGATGGTGCAGTAGTGGGCAATACTTTGCTCTGTTATTCATAAGGTCGCCATGAGTTGGAATAGACTCAATGGCAACTAACAACAGGTGTATATTATGCTTTGGGCCCCAAGTAAGTAATCTCCACTTCTCCTTGTCTCTACCACTCCCTATTGTATTAAACTACCCTACTTCATGCATTTGCATTACTTTTCTGGCCCCTGGAAGCAACTGAATTTGCAACTACTAGATTATATGATTTACAACAGCTGTTTCAGCTCTTAGACGCTTTTGTAAGTAGGCAGTTTTTATATATAATAAAAATTTTATATAAGTTACTGGAATTCCTACCATCACTGTGCATCTTCATTTTATTTCATCACTAAAATGACCCAGTTTTCATAAGACATAGGTTCTATTTCAGAACACCAATGGTACCATAATTTGAATAACAACTCATGATGAATATTTACAAGGCAGAGTTTACTTCCACACATATGTACAGGAAGCAATATTCTCAAGCATTTTGCAATAAGTAAAAAATTCTTTTTTTTTTTTTTAATTTGTGGAGTTCCATGTGAGTTACAGTTTTAAATGGTGTCTAGTTACCAGCCCATGATAGAGCCTCTCCCAACCTTTCACTAAAATATCTATAAAAAGAGAGATAAATAAATGTGCACATAACCACATAAAAAAAGAACTAATCTTTAATCTATTGCTAGAATCAGAGAAGAATTCTTATAACAGAAAAAAAAAAACACCATTAGATTTAAAAAATGTAATTAGATACTTGCACAGGAATGTTCACTGCAGCATTATTCAACATAGACAAAAAGTGGAAACAACCCAAGTGTCCATCAACAGATGAATGGATAAACAAAATGTGGTATATACATACAAAAGAGTATTATTTAGCCATAAAGAGAAATGAAGTTCTGATACATACTACAACATGGATGAACTCTGAAGGAAGCAGAAAAATCATTATCTGTGTATCTCCCTTTTCCACTTTCTGTCATCTTGTATGGAAATGCAAAAGTCTGTATAAGTCAGAAAACTAGGCAGCTCTCTGAGGAGAACCCATCACCCCATCACTTAGTGATTTAAACTTTCAAAAGGCAAGGGAAAGAAGTACTTTGCACCCTGGGAGTTTCAGTTGCAGAAAAGCAGAGTTAGGGACAAAATGATCTACAGAGTATTTGCATTCTGGTAGTTGGAATTCTTGTATATTCCACCTATAGAATAACAGAGAACAAGACATTGGAGAGAGCTGCTTTATGTGAAACTCTTCTAGTCGATTGGAAATGGGCCAAGGCCTATAAGCATCAACCAGTGATAACGTCAAAGATCTAAAAGAGGACTTTCCGAGTAAACAAGAGGACACAGAGAACGCAGCCAAGGGTAATTCACATACCCTCTCTGTGAGCAAGTCTAGATGGATATTTCCAAATTCAAGAATGAGACTAACAACTAAATGTCAACATGGGCTCTATTAAAAAGTATTGTATAAATATGGAAAGAAACAGCATCTTGAAGATTCAAAGGAAGAACAGTTTCCTAAAATCAACTTCCTAAAGGAATCAGAGGCAATTTTTAGAAAAGTATACAGTAAAAAGAGTATACAGTAGGTGAAAAAAAAAGCATTACAAGGATTCTAAAAATTAAATGATGGAATTATAATCCACATTGGGTAAGTAAAGAAAAATGTTGACACATACATACTGTGTAAAATTAAATCACTGACATAGAGGATAAATTCCCTCATAAAGCAGGAGGAAAGAACCAATAGATAAAAGAAGATGCTAGATCTGGAGGACCAAAAAATATCAAACTATAGTTGTTTCTGAGAAAACTAAAGTGAAGAATTGAAATATAAGTAGTAATCAAAGACACAATTTGAAAAAAAAAATCTGAGCTAAAAAAAGAAAGACTAAATTGTATTCCAAATGAAATCAATTCAAACTCACATTTGGATATAAATTTTGAGTTCTAGGGTAAAGAAAAAAAAAAAAAAAACCCTCAGTTGTCAGGCCAGGAAAAAAAAAGAAAACAAACCAATGAACACAAGTTACTTTCAAAGGAACAAACGGCCAGTTGGTCTTAAATTTCTCCTCTGTATTACCAAATGTCAGAAGAAAGGAAAGATTAAAAGAAATCTATTGCCAGGCAAACTGCCTTTCATTAGTAAAGGAGTATGAAAGACGTTTTCATATATTCAAAGGTTCTGAAAATACATTACTCATTAACCTTTACTACACAATTACTCAGACCCATTCCAACCCACCAAGATATAAATAAAAATTAAGAATTCAAGATACGTAATTTTAGAATGGAGCCCTGGTGGCGCAGTGGTTAAGCATTCAGTTGCTAACCAAAAGGTCAGCAGTCCAAATCCACCAGGTGCTCCTTGGAAACCCTATGGGGCAGTTTTACCCTGTCCTATAGGGTCGCTATGAGCTGGAATCGACTTGATGACAATTGGTCAGTTTTAGAATCAGTGTACTGTGGTTAGCCATAGAACAGCATAAATAATTGCCCTAAATTTGGTTGTCAAATTAAATGCTATTGTTCTTAAGGATAATTTAATATAAAATATTTTAAGGACAACAATCAAGGGATGAATCCTGAGACTAAATTAATGAAAACGGTGAAGAGAAAGAGGAAGCATTAAATTCATTCTTACACAGGAACTTCAAAAGCTGCTGTTAGGTTTCATAGGTGGAGAAATATAGGCTAAAGAAAGTTTCTTTAAAACTTGAAGATGGCACCGGGTTAAAGATGATAAATTAGAGGCACGAATTCACGTCTATGCTTTTGTGACTGTACCACTAAAATGGCAAAAAAGGAATTTTGTTAAATAAGACATAAACTTATAAGGACACAGAAGACAGGAAACAGGACAACCACCCCATTTTGGAGCCTGGAAAGCAGAAAAGTGAGTGGTGGCTGAGTTAGCAGAACCAGGAGCTGAATCCTAAGCTGGCAGTGAGGCATGAGTCAAAAGCAACCTAATTTATACTACAGAATC